AGTGAACAGACAATCACTTATATGATAAGCTCCACTATACAAAGTCTACACAACGTATATGATTCAAGTTGAAGATATAGCTCTGAATATCATATTTGAGAAAAAAATGGCCACCAGTCAGCCATTTTTAATTAATTTGTAAAAAAAAATCTTGACTTTTGTGCTCTTTTTAGATATAAATAGACTGTCAAATGGTCATCTTGAATTTGAAAACAAACAAACGTGACACTTGAACCCAGTTGTGGTATAGCTAATGTTTATAACTCACTTGGTATATACTCTCCATTATGTTGCCAGGTCAATTCTGGTACTGGTACACCTACAGCTTCACATACCAGATGTAGTACATCATTAGCAGATAATCGCTGGGCAATAGGCATCACTGTAAACTTGGGTGGTACTGTTAATAATAAATAATCATTGTAAACTTTGGTGGTACTGTCAATAATAAACAATCATTGTAAACTTGGGTTGTACTGACAATAATAAATAATCATTGTAAACTTGGGTGGTACTGTCAATAATAAATAATCATTGTAAACTTGGGTGACACTGTCAAAATGAAATAATCATTGCAAACTTGGGTGGTACTGTCAAAATGAAATAATCATTGTAAACTTGGGTGGTACTGTCAAAATGAAATAATCGTTGCAAACTTGAGTGGCACTGTAAATAATAATCATTGTAAACTTGGGTGGCACTGTGAAAATTGAATAATTATTGTAAACTTGGATGGCACTGTCAATAATAAATAATCATTGTAAACTTGGGTGGCACTGTCAAAATGAAATAATCATTGCAAACTTGAGTATCACTGTCAATAATAAATAATCTTTGTAAACTTTGATGGCACTGAGAAAATTGACTAATCACTGTAAATTTGGGTGACACAGATAAAATATAATAGTTAATTTAACTTGAGCACTGGCAATAATATAATTATTGCAAACTTGACAGTAAGATAGTCAAAAACATTCTTGCTGCCTTAATGGGATTTTTCACACAAAATAACACTAAAATAAAACTCAGTAAACTGATCATTTTTATGTCCAATGAGAAATGTCATATACTTTTGTACTGTAGCATTATAAATGATGTCATACTTGTCATATACTTTTATACTGTAGCATTATAAATGATGTCATACTTGTCATATACTTTTATACTGTAGCATTATAAATGATGATGTCATACTTGTCATATACTTTTATACTGTAGCATTATAAATGATGATGTCATACTTGTCATATACTTTTATACTGTACATTATAAATGATGATGTCATACTTGTCATATACTTTTATACTGTAGCATTATAATGATGTCATACTTGTCATATACTTTTATACTGTAGCATTAAAAATGATGATGTCATACTTGTTGACCTTTTTACCACCTTTCTTTCACTTTCCAAATTTGTTTGCACTTTGTTTTTGATATTCTTCTGCTTTATATTCTTTTTTTTTATATTTTTGGTTTTTAGTCACAAAATGTGGTTAATTTTTGTCCCAATCTTCAGAAGGAAAGTGCAGACCTTAAACTGGACTATTTTGTAATGAGAAACGGGAATTGGTAGTGAAAAAGTTAAGTTACTAAAATGTTCAGATCCAGATACTTATTTTATAATTTTATACATTTATGTTTTATTACATATTTTAGAGACATATATAAACAGTAGGTTGTTAAGTGAAACCCACCACTAGAGGGCCTATTTATACCTAATTTAATTAATCCTAGTTTCTTTTGTTGTAAATCATTATTTTATGAACAGCTTTGATGAAAACAGAACTAATGAAAATCCCCAAAAAATGATTGTACATAGAGAACTAAGAGAACATGAATGGTCTAACCTTGAACTGTCAGAATCATTTCCCGAGAGGCTCTGCCAGCTACATTGATAGCTCTACATATGTATTTACCATTATCAACTTCCTGTGAACAAAATGTTTCTGTTAGTGTATTTAATAGTGAATACAACTAAAACAAGAAGCAGATAGCTCCGCTGTTAGCAATGTACATTTCAATTAGAGAACTGAAAATATCATCACAAATCTGAGATTGGTTCACATGAGGTACCTATATGTGTATTATCAAAGCTTACAGTTTTCAACAAGAAGTCAAACATGTCACATTTTAGTATCTCGAAAAATTGTCTTGTGACATTTTTGTTTTTATTTTCGGTTATTCTGATTCTAATGAACTCATTAAGTATGACAAACATGACATATAATCTTGAATTCTGCTTGAACCTTCTGATAGTAAAACGTGTAGGTTTATTGTGTTAACCTTTTCGCCACCATTTCCCTTCTTCATCACAAATTCACAAAATAGTCCTGTTTATAGTCTGCACTTTCCTTTACATGGTTGGGACAAAAAGAGCCAAATTTTGTGAGTAAAAACTGAAAATTGACTCAAAGCTTGTCTGTTGGCTCCAAAATTAGGGCTTATTTCCAGATATACTGAAGAATTTTAGCAAAAATGTGCAGAAAACTTTTGGCGAGAAAGTCTGGTGGTAAAAAGGTTAAAGAAAATGACTATCACTCACAGTTCCACATCATGAGTTCTATATGTTAACAATGATGATCTGACACATTCTTTAACATTACAGGCATGGTAAAAACACAGACCTAAATTTTTATTTTTACAATGTATCACTTTAATCTTATTTTGAGAAAGCTACAAATGTATTCTTGGAAAGAACACACACAAAAGAATTCAATAATCAGGTTTTTAAGTAAAGATAATTTTAAACAATACTCACTTGAGTATTCGTTATATAAAGTTCACCATCATCGGCTATGTGGTGTCTGTCGGTGTTAGCAACACCACGGCCATCTTTTTCCCAGGTTACAGTGGGTTGTGGTGTTCCATCGCTATTACACTGCAGTCCAATATTCTCTTGGATGAGTACGTGGTATGCTTGTTTGTCTGGGTAAATACTTGGAGGAACTAACATAAAAAAATAAGAAATCGTTAGGGGTTCAGTTACAGTACCTGTTAAGATTAAAGCGGGAAGTTGTCACCTGCACATACATCCGATGGCCATAGCGTGTCATTGTTTACAAAAAAGCGTCTACTGATGGTCGCTTGGGACTCGATTCCCACGCAGGTGACGACCCTCTCGCTTTAATTAAGATAAATTATACGATAGAGAATTTACTTTTTATCAAGCGTTTCTTTCACATTTGCAGTGATAATACATATTGTATCATTGTGGGAGTTCCGAAAGCAAGGCTTT